TTTTTGTTCTTTTTTTAAAAAATATTTATTTATTTATTTATTTGAAAAGCATAGTTACAGAGAGAGAGGGAGAGACACAGAGAGAAAGATCACTGTGGCATAGCAGGTTAGGACTCCACCTGCAATACCAGCTTCCCATATGGGCACTGGTTTGAGACCTGGCTGCTCCACTTACAATCCAGCTCCCTGCTAATGCATCTGGGAAAGCAGTGAAGGATGACCCAAGTTCTTAGACCCCTGCACCCATGCGGGAGACCCAGAAGAGGCTCTGGGCTCCTTGCTTTTATCCTGGTTTAGTCCTGGTCATTTTGGCCATTTGTTGGGTGAACCAACAGATGGAAGATGTCTCTCTCACTCTATCTCTCCTCCTCTCTCTGTAACTCTGCCTTTCAAATAAATAAAAAATAAATCTCTCTTTTTTTAAAGAATACCATCTGCCCCATTTTACAGATGGGAAAAAAGAGGCTTGGAGAAACAGATTCATAACAATCCAAGGTCACAGTTGCCATGAGCAAAACTGGGACATGGATTCAGGTCACTGACTCCAATTGCCAAGCCTTCTGTGACTGTTAAATGGTCTCAAACAACGTACAGTTAAGTGAGGGACACGTGAGGAGATGACTAAGATAACTGGCAAGTACATTCCTGATTAAAGGCAGCTGCACCTTCTTGACTGCAGAATAGGGTGGCTAGGTGTACATGCTGATCTTGAGAAATCAGCCGGCTGGCAAGTGAGATATCTGATTTGTGAAATTATCTCATTTTAAAATATTTACTCATTTTGTTTCTTAAAATACAAATATGTATTAAAATATGTATTAGAATGTATAAAAAGAGAGGCCAGCGCCGTGGCTCACTAGGCTAATCCTCCGCCTTGTGGCGTCGGCACACCGGGTTCTAGTCCCAGTCGGGGCGCCGGATTCTGTCCCAGTTGGCCCTCTTCCAGGCCAGCTCTCTGCTGTGGCCAAGGAGTGCAGTGGAGGATGGCCCAAGTACTTGGGCCCTGCACCTGCATGGGAGACCAGACTAAGTACCTGGCTCGGATCAGCGCGGTGCGCCGGCCGCAGCGCGCCGGCCGCGGCAGCCATTGGAGGGTGAACCAACGGCAAAGGAAGACCTTTCTCTCTGTCTCTCTCTCTCACTGTCCACTCTGCCTGTCAAAAAAAAAAAAAAAAAAAAAGAATGTATAAAAAGAGAAAAACAAACCAAAATCTAGCCATGGATATGGAGCAACTGGAACTCTCATGCAGTACTGGTGGGGAATGCAAAATGGTACAGCCACTTTGGGCAACAGTATGACATACACTTAATACACCTAGCTGTCCCACTCCTAGGTATTTTTCCAAGTGAAATGAACACCTATAATTTCAAAAGCCTGTTCCCAGGTGCCTCAACTGGGGAACAGATAAATAAACTGTGGTAATCTATATAATGGAGTACTACTGAGCGATCAACAGGTATGAACTACTGATATACTCATCAATAAGGACTGATCTCAGAAACATTTTGCTAAGAGGCCAGACTCAAAAGCTTATATGACAAATGTTTGTTTTCATTTGTATGATATGGCAAAGGCAAAATCATAGAAAACAGATCAGTAGTTGTTAGGGACCAGGGGGTTGACCCCAAGGGAGTTGGGGAAAAAGGGAAATGTTCTCTATATTTATTGTGGTTAACTGTGTATGTTTTTCAAAACTTGTTAACTAACTATACATTCTCTGTACCGTTCCAATTTTAGTATATATGCTGCTGAAGCAAGCACAAACTATACATTTAAAAGGGTGGATTTAACTGTAAATTACACCTTAAACAGTAAAATGGTTGAAAGGTGAAAAAGCATCAATCGATCAATTGCTTTGTATTCATATAAAACATTTTTATACTACATATAATTTATTTTCTTCATATTATGTGTGATTATTTTGCATTAGAAGGACAATCTTACCAAATTAATATAGAAAATTATTTGGAGTATTTAGAAAAAAGACTTAAAGATAATTTTAAGACCTATGCCACACTAGTGAAATAAAATCAACACCGTTCTAAAGTAATGGGCTCTTTGGAAGATTCTACAATTAAAAATTCCAAAGAATTATATACTGTTAAAATATTCTTGGGGCCAGGGCCAGGGCCAGGACCAGGGCCAGGACCAGCATGGTAGCACAGTAGGTTAATCCTCTGCCTGCAGCGCCAGCATCCCATTTGGGTGCTGGTTCGAGACCCGGCTGCTGGACTTCCGATGCAGCTCTCTGCTATGGTCTAAGTCCTTGGGCCGCTACACCTGCACGGAGACCAGGAAGAAGTACCTGGCTCCTGGCCCAGCTCTGGCCATTGTGGCCATTTGTGGAGTGATCCAGTGGATGGAAGAACTCTCTCTCTCTGCCTCTCCTTCTCTTTCTGTGTAACTCTAACTTTCAAATAAACAAACAAATCTTTAAAAAAATACTCTTGGCTTGTTAATAGGATAAAATTATTACATTTATTATTAATTTTAATTATTTGAAGTACTACCTATGTGACCTTGGACAAGTTACCTGTAATCCCTCCGAGGTTTATTTTAACTATAAAATGTAAAATCCTCATAGAGACTTTGTAAAGATTAAATGAGAAAATGCCTGTAAATCATTTAGCATATATAAAGTACTAAATAAGTGGCAGCTGTTACTAATTATAAAATGTTGACGGCTGGTGCCGTGGCTCACTTGCCTAATCCTCCGCCTGCAGCGCCAGTACCCTGGGTTCTAGTCCCAGTTGCTCCTCTTCCAGTCCAGCTCTCTGCATGTGGCCCTGGAAGGCAGTGTAGGATGGCCCAAGTGCTTGGGCCCTGCACCCACATGGGAGACCAGGAAAAATCACCTGGCTCCTGGCTTTGGATCGGTGCAGCGCACCAGCCGCAATGGGCCGGCTGTAGTGGCCATTTGGGGGGTGAACCAACCGAAAAGGAAGACCTTTCTCTCTGTCTCTCTCTCTCTCTAACTCTGCCTGTCAAAAAAATAAAAATGTTGAAAACCTTAAATTTTTTGTATTTTGGAATTGAAAATACTGAGGGTTTTTGTTGTTTGTTTTGTCTTGTTTTAGGGATTAGCACTGCTCCCAATCATTATCAGAGCTTGGGACAGGCTCCTTGGCATGGCAGCAGACAGGTGGGCAAGGGGGGGGCAGGTAGCTCAGTGGTTGGTCCTGTTCCATCAGTCCCTTCTTTCTCACCTGGCAGGCAACACAGCTGCCGACTCTCTGGCCACTGTGAGCAGTGAAGAGCCTCCTTTGTGGGCCCACAGTAATGGGAGACTCCAACAAGCTGGGCTGGGGAGAGGCCTGGGAAGTGCCAAGGGTGCAATATGTAAGAAGTCCCAGGTGCCTCACTTGCCTCAGCCCAGTCCTGGTTCACCTTCCCTCAGTATTCTTATTTCCATACCTTTCCCAACTCATAGATTCTTCACGTTATTCCCTACCCCAAGAAGAAAATCTCTGTCTCTGCTCCCTTTAAAGTCGCAGAAGATTCACACAGTCTGGGGACTAACCATGATCATTTGCTATTTACTGTATTCTGGACATATTTGCTATCTCTTTTGGATACTTTCATATTTAAATTAATATATTTTCCTCTTTATAAATACAGGAATCTCTCTTTGAAGCAGTCTGGAAGCTTGTTAACAAACAATGATGTACCTCATCCTCTCCATAACCCAAAAGTAAAAGAAAATTTGTGCATGGAAAACAAGTAAATTCGACCTCGAGTGGCCTCATTTTTTAATATTTCGTAGGACTATGCAGCATCTCTTGAGTGTTTGTAGATTTATGGCATCTCATTACATAAGAAAAACCTGTAAGTTCTTATTGGATTTGCTTCTTTATAGAATCTGAAACATTGCTTTCCACGTGTGAATCCAAGGGTCTATTCTCTTTATTACTCACCATATACAATCTACTGGGAAAATAAAAATGTGCTTTCTCCGTAGAAGTCATTTTTGAGTCAGTGGGATTTGGTTGTGCTTCTTTAAAAAAAAGTGGTCATTAGGATTCACTAACACACAGCACTTAATAGGTGGACGGGTACATCCAAACAGTGCCACCGTTACTGTCTACTGATGGTAATTCCAAATTAAAAAGCGATTGGAAAGTACGCGAGAGCATTTTAAGCGACACTTTAAATATTGTTTCAACCCCAAAGAAGATAGAGAAGGCTCTGCTCTTAGAATTGCCAGCATTGCTTCAAGATTGCCCCTGCCACGCTTCTAGAAAGCCCAGCAGCGGCTGCAAGGCGGGCGACAGCCACGAGGACTGGGGAATCCAGGGCCAAACGCTTCCCGGGCGCCGGCTCTGGCTCCGAATGCAGAAAGAGCTTTGGATCGGATCCTTCCCTGCGCCACCTCAAGCCACAGTACCCGGTAGGGCCCACAGGTGCAAAGCCGGTTAAGAAATTTAAGTCCAGCTAAAACAAAAAGGCGGGGGCCCCGCGAGGATAACCGGGGCAGTCCGGTCAGGGTCCGCGGACCCGCGCGGGAGCGACGCCAGGGTCTGTGAGCTCCGGACGGGCTGGGACCTCCCTAACGAATGGGGATGGGGGCGCATTGGCGGTCTTGAAGGAAGTGCCTCCAAAAACTAGACACGGAGTCCTGAGGAGGGGTGGGGATCCACTGACCTAAGTAATGGACAAGGCGAGAAAGATTTACCTTGTGGTAGAATTAACGGCTAGCGCATCGATGTGCCACCTGACATTTTCTCACAGAAAATTAAGTCACGCTCAACCTCAACCGAACGGCAGCGTTCCCGCCTCAGCTGGGCGTCAGTAGGGAAGGGGTCTCGATTGAGACTCCGCCCGAGGCTAGGACGGCAGCAAGGAGAGCTGACTTCGCAAGGCCATGGCCACCGCCTTGAGCCCAGACCCCGGCTCCACCGGCAGTACCCCCGGGGAGCTCCACGCGTCGCCTCCGCTTCCAGCCCCTGAAGAGCTGGTTCCGCCCGGGGCCCGCGGCCCGCGGCCCGCCCCGCCCCGCCGGCCCCGCCCCGCCGGGCGGTTTGATTAATGACTCTCCCGCCGCTGAGGGGCGGCTCCTCTACGCGGCGGCCCGCCGCACGGCCCCGTCGGTGGGCGCGTACCCCCGCGCGACCTGTCGTCGTGGCTCGAAGCACAGGCCAGGCAGGAAGGCGCCCGTATAAAAGGCGCAGCCAGCGGCGACTGAGAGTGGCCGTCGACTTCGGCTTCGGCTGGACGAGGATGGAGTGACCGGCGCTGCCCTGGCCACGGCAGACCCGGCTCGACGCCATCGCCCGCTTGTACAGTGGAACCAAGCTCCGTACGGCCGTTCCAAGAAAGGTGAGGGTCCGGGCCTGGCCCCCGCCGCGCGGCTCCCGGGTTCCAGCCAGTAGCGGGTGCCTGAGTCCGGCGGTGAGGCCAAGGGTCCCCCATTCGTCGGGCAGAAATCCCTACAACTCTCGGTCAGAATGGCCCTGCTGCGGCGCTGTCGGAATAACACTGCCGAAGCGCAAACGAGTGCCGAACCGGCGCAGGGCTTCCGATATCTGAATTCCCAGGTAGCGTGGCCCTCGTGTTTACTTTCTCCATAAAAAGGTAAGGGTAGCCCCGCGCCCCCTCTTTGTCCCTCTAAGGAGCCCAGCCAGTCTTGGGATCCCACAACTCACCGGGACGCCTGAAGTTGTAAAGCACGGCCCAGGCCAAATAAGTTGGTATGGGAGATCGCCCCAGAGCCACGTCGGGCCGCCGAGCGGGTGGGCGCTGGGAGACCAAAGGGCTGCGCCTCTCGCGCTAAGCCTGCCAGCGCCCGGACTTCACCGTGCCTTCGCTCCTTTGCAGCGCGCACGCGGTGCTGGAAGCTGCCATGGAGCGTGGCCACCGGGCGGGCAGCCCGCTGAGTGCCCGTGCCGAACCCGCGGCCCCGGCCGCCTCCCCCCGCGACTCGAGCCCGGGGCGGACTGGGCTGGGGTCTGCGGGTCCCGGGGGCGGCTTGCGCTCCGGGGGCGGGCGACCGGCGGCGGCGAACGCCGCGCGGGAGCGCAGCCGCGTGCAGACCCTGCGGCACGCCTTCCTGGAGCTGCAGCGCACGCTGCCGTCGGTGCCGCCCGATACCAAGTTGTCCAAGCTGGACGTGCTGCTGCTGGCCACCACCTACATCGCGCACCTCACCCGCAGCCTGCAGGACGACGCCGACTCCCCGGCCGACCCCGGGCTGGGCGCCTTGCGCGGCGATGGCTACCTGCACCCGGTCAAGGTAGGCGGGCAAGACGAGGCACCGCGGAGATGGGGGCCGGGCCAGGAGCGGGACTTCTTGCCAGTGACTGTCTACGCCTGAGCGAATGCCGCTGAGCCCTCATCTCTCCCTCTGGTTGAGGAACAAACCAGCAGAGCGATCCTGGCCGCTGATGGCAAAGTCCCCAATGCAGGAGGCTGTTCCTTGACTTCGCAGAGAGGGTAGGCGGTTGAACCTAGGGTGGATTGGGTAAGGAATCTCTCAGGGCCCTTGTAGGATGTGTGCAGCCACAGGATTTGTGTGCCTCCCAGGGTGACACACGCGGGGGTTTGCTTGCTTGTCCTGATAATTTTTAGTATCTGAATTACATTTATGACTGAGTTTTAAATTTACATAATTACATTCCCATTGTAGTCTTTGAGATATTTGCAAGGTTTCACGAATTAAATGAAGTGATAGAATTATCTAACCCTAAAGTAATCCTAGAAAAACACTTTTATATAAATTTTTGGTGAAATTGGTAAGAACAAATGAAGCCATTCTGCGCTCCCATGAAGTGAAATGTGTCTGTTTAAGTAAAGGTTCGCTAGAGAGTACAGACTGGACAGCGGCCACGAATGTTAGGAAAAACTACCACATGAGGGCCTTATGTAATTTTCACGTGTCTGTATGTATGTTGAGTGAATTGATTACATAATATATTCAAATTCTGTAAAGTACAAAATTAGTCAAGAGAATCCATTTTCCGTAATTTCCTTACATATAAATTGGAATGGTCCTGGTTTTCATTTAATATGGAATTTATGGCTATGACTTATTACTTGTAGTGCAGCATTAAGTCTCCATATCATCCTTTCCTCCTAGATTCGATTTTTTGAAACTTTGCATTTATCTGGCTTTCTGTTCAAAATATATTATCTTCTCTAAAAGATTTAGGTTTATGCTAAACTTAAATTTTCAAATATTTTGCTACACTGTTCTAGCATTTTCTCTCTTGTTCTCACACACACTCACAAATCTCTAGGGCTTAACCTTAAGTTTATCAGTGTTCAGTGAATTATGAAATAATTATTATTGAAATATGGTAAAGCACACCTCTACTAATAACAATTCTGTGCTCAGGCTTAAAAACACTTTGCAGATATAATCAAGCATGGTGATAGGCTGAAACCATTTCAAATATTAAATATAAAAATGTGAAATATAATTTATTTGTAAGTATAATAGACCACATCCTTTTTATGAGCTTTATAACATAATTTCAGCTAAAAAGCTACTCATTATAATTTAGGGGTTTTATATTACAGTTTGCATTAGATTGCTATTCAAATCTGTCAGTAATGTTAGATATCTTTTGACTTGACATTTGCCATATTCTTTAAAAAAAAGTTTAACATTGAGTAGATTGTAATACAAAAAGCATCTATTAAATGCCAGCCTTGTTGGAGATAGAATGTTTTTCACCTTAGTTTTTTCCAATGCTATTTTTGCATGAGTAATGTTAGAGGCATAATTTTCATGTAACAAAAGCATAGCAATCACTTTTTGCACTTGATTCATGTGGCAAGTGTTTTTGTAGACAAAATTATCTTAAGAGAAATCAGATCTCATTTGTCTCTGAATCAATTATTTTGATTTTGAGACAATTCTGGAGGTACAAGATCAAGATCACTTCTTAAATGGTTGAGCCAAGCAACTTCTCTTGTTTTAAAATCAAACATTTGAGTTCCTACTATGGGCAAAGTATTGTTTTAAGAGAGAATACAATCATGAATCAGACTTAGTCCCTGCCCAGATGAACATATTATAGATATGAAGACTAAGATATCAATAACAGTTTTGTAAGGGAGAATATTATATTCGCCATAAAAGAGCTATAACCATGTGAAAGAAAGAGATTTTATATCCATAATCAACACAGCTTGTTACATGATTTTACAAATACTACCAAAATGTTTAATTACTGAGTCTGTCTACTAATGCAAAAGCAATAAGAATTTTCTGAGTATTTGTATTTTTTATAAAGGCTCACTATAAGTTATTTTAGCACTTAACAAAAAGTCTCCTGAGTTTCTCTACCATACAACCTAGTGTTACTAAGTCACCCTGATGATCAGAGATCTTTTAACAAGTATTTCAAGGCTACAAAACTATGATTTTGCATCATCTGTCTTTATCATCAGTATTGTTAGCACATTAGTAATGTTGGATATTTACATTAAGAGTATCTCAAATGAAACTGGAGGATTTAAGAGACTGGGATCCTTTAAAAATAGCCTGAGACCGCAGTTTTTATCCTGTACCAGTACAAGCGATTTCATCAGCACCAAGTGGTCCCACAGATCACTCCAAGATGACAGGAATGTATTTCAGACCTTTACCTTGTGAGAAAAGCAAAAATGACTATTGATTATTTATCAGTAAAGTGGTAAAACAAACCATTGAAAATGAAATGTAAATCAGTTAGCTGGCTTTTTCAGCATCAGCAACCTAACCAACATTTTATTTACATTTTGATTTCTGACTCTTGAAACTATTTGTCCACATTAAATTAGGTCAAAATCATGATAAGCCTTTTGTGAAAATGAAGTATGCAAAATTCTTTTTTTTTCCACTAAGATTTATTTATTGATTTGAAAGCATAACAGAGAGGCAGAGGTGGAGAAAAGTCTTCCATCTGCTGGTTCACGCCCCAGATGGCAGCAATGGCCAGAGCTGTGCCAATCTGAAGCCAGGAGCCAGGAAGCTTCTTCTGGGTCTCCCACATGGGTGCAGGGACCTAAGTACTTGGGCCATCCTCTACTGCTTTCCCAGGCCACAGCAGAGAGCTGGATCAGAAGTGCAGCAGCCAGGACTTGAATCAACAACCATATGGGATGCTGGCACAGCAGGCAGCTTTACCTACTATGCCACAGTGCCAGAGTCATTTTATTAAATCTATGAAAAATGAAGGAAAAATTCACATGTACATGCTTAGGTTTGCTTCATGAGTTATTTATATCCTAGCAGATATGTAAGGAATAGGCATCTTCGTTTGTCTCCATGCTTGACTGAATGCTCTGGAGCAACTCTCAACACAGTGGGACCCAGGTAGCACATCTGCGAACCATCAGAGGAGCATTTGGTAGTATTTTATTTGCGTTCAAATATACTTAATTCACAAAAATCCTCAAATTGCATTTGAAATATGAGCATGAAATCTTTATGCTTATGAAAATGGAGCAGGAGTATAAAAGGTTGAGAAGTGCTGGTTTGTAATAGCACCAAAACTCCTGCACTGGAAATTGACTGTTTCCACCCTACTCACAGTGTATATTAGTCAGCTTAAGCTGACATACATCACAGACTGCATGTCTTAAACAACAAAGATGTATTTACTCACACAGTCTGGAGGCTGGAAAGTCCAAGCAAGGTGCCAGCAGTGTTTCTTTCTCATTACCTAATCTAACTCTAATTCCCTCCCAAAGCACCCATCTCCAAAACCCATCGCCAACAGAGTTAGGGCTTCAACATATGCATTTTGTGGGACACATTTAGTCTACAACACCACAGCACTGAGTTCGTTTTTTTTTTTTTTAAAAAGATTTATTTTATTTATTTGAAAGACAGAGTTACAGAGAGAGGTAGAGCCACAGAGAGAGAGGTCTTCGATCTGCTGATTCACTCCCCAAATGACTGCAATGGCCAGAGCTGAGCTGATCCGAAGCCAGGAGGCAGGAGCTTCTTCCAGGTCTCCCACATGGGCACAGGGGCCCAAGGACTTGAGCCATCTTCCATTGCTTTCCCAGGCCACAGCAGAGAGCTGGATCAGAAGAGGAGCAGCTGGGACTAGAACTGGCGTCCATATGGGATGCTGGCACCACAGGGCCAGGCTTTAACCCGCTGTGCCATAGCACCAGCCCAGGAACTGGGTGCTTTGAATACAGCAGGACTTAAATCTGGTCCAGCAATGCCAATTCTGACATACCAGAAGAACCTCCGGTCAGTTTCTAAAACATTTACCAGTCAGTAGCAAGGATCCCAAGGATCACTGGGGACAGTGATATACTCAGATTGTTTAAGAATGCCCATGTTTGATTTTTTAAAAACCTAAAATTGATTTGTAAAACTAACTAGCTCAGCTTCCATCTCCACTCCAACTCTGCTAATGGCCTTGAAAAGCAGTGGAAGATGGCCCAAGTGTTTGAGCCCAGGCCACCCACATGGGAGAGCTGGATTAAACTCCTGGCTCCTGGGTTTGGCCTGGATCAATGCTGGCTGTTATGGCCATCTGGGGAATGAACCAGTGGATGGAAGACCTTTCTATGTTTCTTCTCTTTGTAACTCCAACTTTCAAAATAAATAAATCTTTTGGGGGAAAAAAACACTATATGAAGGGGCCGGTGTTGTGGCGTAGCAGATAAACTATCGCCTATGTCATCAGCATTCCATATGGGCGCTGGTTTGTGTCCCCGCTGCTCCACTTCCAATTCAGCTGTAGCAGTGAAAGATGAAGATGGCCCAAGTGTTTGGGCCCCAAAGCACCCATGAAGCTCCCAACTCCTGGCTTCAGCCTGGCTGAACCCTGGCTGTTGAGGCCACTTGAGTAGTAAATCAGCAGATAGAAGATATTTCTCTCTTTCTCTCTCCCTTTTACTCTGTAACTTTGCTTTTCAAATAAATAAATCTTTATTTTAAAAAATCTAAAAAAAAACTGTATCAAACACAACATCCCATGTTACTTGTTGGAAACCATAGGAATAGATCATTTTAAATTCCAAGTAAAGCAAATTTTGTTTTTTATCTGTGTTTAAAGTATAATACAGAATATTGTGTCAGGATGGCCGAGCGGTCTAAGGCGCCAGACTCAAGTATAATACAGAATAATCTGAATGTAAGACTCTTAAATAATTTGAACAACATGGGAGCAAATTTACTTATCACATTTATAGACACAATAATATGTTCCATTCATTGTCACAGAGCAGAAACTTTCCAAATAATATCACATGCCTGCTTATTATTCTTTAGAATAATTTGCACTTGGAATCTCAATTTATGTGAAAATAACTGTGCTCAGAAGTACAATGAAGGGGCTGGCACTGTGGCATTGTGGGTAAAGCCACTGCCAGCAGTGCCAGCATCCCACATGGAGGCCAGTTCGAGTCCAGACTACTTCACTTCCAGCTCTCTGCTGTGGCCTGGGAAGGTAGTGGAAGACAGCCTGAGTCCTTGGGTCCCTGCGCCCATGTGGGAGACCCTGAGGAAGCTCCTTGATCCTCGCTTGGGACTGATGCAGCTCCAGCCATTGTGGCCAATGGGGGAGTGAACCAGCACATGGAAGACTCTCTCTGTCTCTCTCTCTGTATCTCCTTCTCTCTCTGTGTAACTCTGACTTTCAAATAAATGAATAAATCTTAAAAAAAAAGAAAGAAAGAAATACAATGGGGACTTATGTTATTCCAGCTAAGATCTGACTTTACCTTACACTCTGTTACTTCTGGGTATGTCTTGGCCATCAGTATTTGTTTAGGACCCTCTGGGTAATTCTAATGTGCAGCTTGGACTGAGAACCCAGAGCACTTATTTTTTTGGTATCTTTAATAATTTTTCTTCTATTTGACCACTGAAGATTATCTACCAGACCTTTAAAATCATCCTGGAGCTGGCTCTCGGAAAGCAGTGGAAGATGGTCCAAGTCCCTGGGCCCCTACTCCCACGTGAGAGACCCGGATGGAGTTCCAGCTCCTGGTTTGTGCCTGGCTCAGCCCTAGCTGTTGCAGGCATTTGAAGAAATCAACCAGTGAATGGAAGATCTCTCTCCATCTGTCTCCTTTAGTCTTTCAAATAAAATAAAATAAATCAACAAAAATAAAGACATCTCACGGTACAGTGTAATCTATACATGCTCACTGATGAAGATAGTAGCCTGCTGTCCACAGCAGTATATGCTCCCTGGAGAATGTGGGATGCATTTGCTAACCTTTGGGAGTTATATTTTTTAGTCTAAAGACTTACCTTTATATTTAAAAAAGATAGTGTTTCTCTGACTAGTATTCTAAAAAGCCTAAAACTAAACAGATTATAGAACCCCACAGCCCCTCAAAAAAGAATTCCCTTCTGATAGTACTACTCATATATTTTCTCATCATTATGCCTGTTTGATAATAAATTATATTAAGAGATTGTCCATCATAAAGCTGAACTGTAAAAAAAATCATGATTGCTAATTCAAATGTGATAATTTCTAAAAGGTTAGAACTGTATGAAATGAATACATCAATACATTTAATTGGATGTTCTATCTATATAACATACATTCTAATATTTGCAATTTCACATATCACCTTTACTTAATGAAAATGTTATATGATTGAATTAGCAACTTTTTTTAAAAAATAATTTATTTATTTATTTGAGAGGTAGAATTACAAAGAGAGAGAGGGAGAGACAGAGAGAAAGGTCTTCTATCCATGAGTTCACTCTCCAGATGGCTGCAACAGCTGAAGCTGGGCTGACCTAAAGCCAGGAACCAGGAGCTTCCTCTGGGTCTCCCATGCAGGTGCAGGGGCCTAAGCATTTAGGCCATCTTCTACTGCTTTCCCTGGCCATTAGCAGAGAGCTGAATCAGAAGAGGAGCAGCCAGGACACAAACTGGCACCCATATGGGATGGCACCACCCTGAATTAGTTACTTTTCATTGTGGTTGTTTGACAAGTGTAGATACATACTACCTACCAGGTAAAATTTTTGAAAACATATTTAAAGCCAGAGATGTAGTTGCAGACTTCATTTTGTTGTAGGTTTCATTTGAAATTAAAACATGGGTAGATATATTTTTCTTTACTTCTACTTTGTTCATTCTCTATGATTTCTTACAGTTCTTGTTCATATGCACACATATTATTTTTACAGTCATAACCAAAGTCTGAGTTTAATTTTATTTATATTTTTAACATTAATAAACACTTTTCCATGTTCTCTTAGATTTCATAATTATAATTGTTACTAGCTATGTAATATTACATTTGTATTGGGGTACATGTCATAGGCACTAACTTTTGGATTTTTATTTAAATATTCTTTTTCAGAAATGGCCCATGCGATCAAGATTATACATTGGTGCTACTGGTCAGTTTCTGAAGAATTCTGTCTCTGGAGAAAAGGCAAATCATAGCAACTCTCCAACAGACTCCCAGCCTTAGGATCACCCCTGGTGGGGGTTGGTAAAAGAGCAGGCTGTTGTTTTTAAATATTATGGAATTCTATATTTATTACATCAAACAAACACCATATCTGAAAGTTTACATTTGAACCTATATTTGAATGCTCAAATTTACCTCTTAGCCAAATGTGGAATGAAATAATCAGTCTCCTATAAAACACACATAGCATCTAGTCATTGTGAGAGTCACTGCTATACAGTGCAAGAGAAACTATAAGGAAAAATAATACATGAAAGCAAACAATTGTGTGTATATATATCCAAAGAATGCATACATTTTCTGTCATGTACTTATTACAAACAGAAAAGCTAATATCTATCAGTACAGTAGTCTTCCTAGTTTCAAAAATAAAATCTGTTTGTAATATACCAGTTCCATTTTTGTGAAAACCAGTCTATACTTATAGTTGGTCTAAGAATTCATTTCAATTGGGAGGTATGAATACTTTTATTCCAGTTAAGTTAAATATTTGTGAAAAGACTGATAAAGTAATATAAAGGTGCGGTAATTTCTGTCACTACTTGTTTTTCCCTCTTAAAAAACTTTTTTGGAGTATTAGAAATTGTGTGCTCCATAGGTTAGCACATGGCCACATTCCTAGAGGTTCATTGAGTACTTTACTATGTTTCCAAACTGTGGAAGACGGGAGGAATCCCTGCAGCTCAGTGTGAACCGGGGATACTGGTGCTGCTGGCAGCAGGTTTCCTCAACCTCCTGCCAGCCATCCACATGTGCTCCACCCTCGTTCAGCTCCTGGGCAGAGTAACCCAGGCTCAGCTGCAGCCACCTAAAGAGAGTGGCAGGTTCAGGCCGGCAGAGGCCTCCAGTGAGTCCCCTTAACCCTCCTCCACAGCCGGTGCTGCACTTGGGCTCCTTCTCCCCTTGTTATGTGTTGTTCTTAATCTGTCCAAATGGCCAATATGAAATGGAAGAAATCCTGTCTGGTATGGGAGTTTTGGCACTGGTATGCACCTTAAGGGGTCTGAGGACACAGAAAGACCTTCCTGAAATAAATTCAGGCTAGAGCAGAATCTTTTCAATCTGCCCCAATAGGAACCTCAATCAAAGGAGGCCCTGTCAAAGAGGGCCTCTCTCAGCACCATCGGCCATCCAGTGCCTAAGGAGCAGACTGATTGCATCAGTGGTTATGGTTTTCAGCAGGAACCTGGGAGTCAAAAGCTTGTTTCTGGCGGGCCCCGCCACTCATTAGGCTAATCCTCCGCCCGCGGTGCTGGGACCAGGGTTCTAGTCCCGGTTGGGGTGCTGGATTCTGTCCCGGTTGCTCCTCTTCCAGTCCAGCTCTCTGCTGTGGCCCGGGAGTGCAGTGGAGGATGGCCCAACTGTTTGGGCCCAGCACCCGCATGGGAGACCAGGAGGAAGCACCTGGCTCCTGGCTTCGGATCGGTGCAGCTGGCTGGCCGTAGTGGCAATTTGGTGGGGTGAACGAATGGAAGGAAGACCTTTCTCTCTGTCTCTCTCTCACTGTCTAACTCTGCCCGTCAAAGAATAAAAAATAAAATAAATTTAAAAATTTAAAAAAGCCTTGTTTCTCAGAAGATACTGAAATCTCAAACAATGAAATATAATACACACCCAAGAAAAAAACATCAATCAAGTCCGTGGCTTTAGATTCCCCTTTATCTCCTTTTTTCACTGTTTCTTCTTAGTCTTTACCATTTCCCTTTCCAGCTGTGAAGTTCATTTATTTCTTCATAACCCATGGTTTTAAGGTTGCTCAATTCAATCCAAGATTATTTAATAGACAATGTATGTTAATGGACTTAGCTGAATTAATATAGCAATCGAATCACCATTTTATTTTATTTTCACCTCAGTTTTCTTCCAGCCTTTGGCAGTGAAATGAAGTAAAAGATCATTTGGAGGCAAAAACTGTCATTCAGTTGATTTAGCTGAATATGACAATTGTTCAGTTCATATATGATAAATTGTTGTGTTATTATTTTAATGTGAATATATTCCTTATAATGTGACCAAAGCATGTCTTTGAAAAGAAAAGGCATATAATAAAAGCTTTCTACATATAAATATGTAGCAAAATGTTTGTGTGTCCAAATATTTGTAAATAAAATTTACCCACTTATTAGACATTGAAAGGACTAAATAAAATAAAATTTCAGTTGAACAAGTCACTATAAGCTGTTGGCACAAGAAGGATTAAAAATTATCTTAAGGAATAAGAAAAATTTCTTTAATGCTGTATCAAACTGAACTGTAAACATTAGATTTGATAGCAAGAATTTTTTAAAAATTATTTTCTTGTTAATGCTAATCCACTTGCTAGGATTTTTAAAGCATTTAATTGGGAGTAAAAAAGCTATGACTTGATGAATTATTAGACTTTTCTAAATGATTCTAGTTAACAGTAAAGTTTTCCCTTTGATGGTATTACTTTTTGTTTCTTCTTGTCCAATTACAAATATTTTAATGCCAAAGAAATGTATTTCTTTCCTATATTTTCATAGCATTTTTATTAAATTGCTAAATATTCTAACAGCTTCTAGTAGGTTGGAAAGTCTTGAAGGAGAAGTTGCATATTTTGGCCCAAAGTTTCAAAGGAGCATGCTGTTTTAATTAATGGTGCATGGACAGGATAAAGTAAAGCAAAGCACTGATTTGAAAATTAATTTAGCCTGCTGAATTTCTGTCTCTTTGAATATTTTTAAGATTTATTTATCTGAAAGGCAGAGCAATAGAGAGATATCTTCCATCTGCTGGTTTACTCCGCAGATGGCCATAGCAGCCAGGCCTGGGCCAGGCCAAAGCCAGGAGCAAGGACCATCATTCTGGTCTCCCACATGGGTGGTAGGAGCCCAAGTACTTGGACCATCTTCCACTGCCTTCCCAGGCTCATTAACAGGAAGCTGGATGGGAAGAGGAGTAACCAGGACTCAGGACTCTAACTGGCACTCTGATATGGGATGCTGACGCTGCAAACAGTGATTTAACCTGTTGTGCCACAACGCTGGCGGTATACTGGATATTTAACAAACACTGAAGGTACATTTGAAAATCTTTCTAGGCGATAAATACCTACTTGGTGTTAGTGTCTTCACCATGCTATCATAATGGAATATGTTTTAGGACTGGGGAGGGAGATATATTTGGATTGTAGTGTTATCCCATAATCTGCAGGGGAAATTCTCAAAATTCTTTCTGTTCTCTCAGCTCTCCCAGTGATATAACACATTTAAAATCCCTTTGTAATAATAATTGTGGAGACTGGGGAAATGTCTTATTTTGGAGGCATAACTACTTATACACAGGCTTGAAAATTTTTTTGTTGTTTCTTTTTCTGATTATAAAAATATCTATGCTGTAGTTTGTATGTCAATAAAGCCATATTGGAAACAATATATGTATATACTTGTTTTAAAGAACAAACTTAAGAAATGGAAGTAAAGTAAAAACTAAAAGTCCAGTATTGGAGGTTAGTGTTTAGGATGGAATAAGGCAGGGATGTCTCTTCCACATTTTACTGGTAATAAAAAAACAAAGTGGTTTTGCATTTTGTAAGATTCTTTACCAGACTATTTCAATATGTAAAGTTATAGATAACCTAAACACTGCTTTCCAATCTATTCATGAAGACTATTTAAACTTAGAAGAACCTGTGCAGAATAAAAATAAATGCTGATTGACCTTACTGAAATTCACAGTAATTATTTTAGTTGAAATTGTTTCTTAAATTATTCAATAATTTATCTCCCTCTCAAGGGGCCTCATTTTAATTTATGAAAGCAGCTAACTAGTTATGATCAATTAAAAAGAAAATATTCAGGCTCTAGCAAGTTCATTTTTTTTTCGGGAGCTGGGGGAAGCCATTATATATATATATATATATATTTTAATCTTTTCTTTAGGCCTCAGTATATCATAGTGCTTTTCTGAGGAAATAATCCAATACAACAAGACACCTCTGATAATGACCAACATGATTCACTTAGAAATTAACTCATTAGGGGCCAGCATTGTGGCACATCCGGTAAAGCCAGGGCCTGCAACACCAACATTCCATATGGGCACCAGTTTGAGTCCTGGCTGCTCCACTTCTGATCTAGCTCCCTACTAATATGCCTGGGAAAGCATCGGAAGATGACCCAAGTGCTTGGGCCCCTGCACCCACATGGGAGACCAGGAAGAAACTCCTGGCTCTTGACTTCAGCCTGGCTCATCCCTGGTCAGTGTGGGCCATTTTGGGGGAGTGAACCAACTGATGGGAGATTCTCTCTCTCTCTGTCTCTCCTTCTGTCTCTGTGATTCTGCTGTTCAAATTTTTTAAAAAGGAAATTAACTTATTGTGTTTGGTATCATGATAATACAAGTTGCTTGTTTCCATGTAAAACTGTATTGTTGCTCTTCTTAGCTAACAGGAAGAAAGTATAAATCAAACATATTGTTAAAAATATAGATTAGATTCTTCAAGAGATGGCTTAATCTAAATTTTTTTTCTAACTTGTGTCAACTACTGCAAATTGTATCAAGCATGCATTTTACTTGAAAAGCTGTGAATTCTGACTCTTTCAGCATTGGCAGGTTTCATCTTAATCTGGTGACAGATTCATGGGTTTTGGAAATTTATCGCTGGAGGATGTGATATCCACAGTTCCTCAAATGACTTATTGCAAGTAGTGTACTATTACTCTTTCTTCCAGGCACACACATGATTTTTTAGTTACTTTTGTTACTATAAATACCATCCAAAAACTAAGATTCCAGATTACTAGGGAAAGGCTGTAAAATCATATATCTCAAAGAAAATAGATTTTTTGTTACAAAATGTTAGCTGGTGGTCTTATATGTGCCTGTTGTACTGAAAAACAAATGCCCCTTCAATCCTGTAGATTTGTTTCTAAGTGTAGACTGTAGACTGCACAGATGGCACTGCAGCACAGTTGGGAATGAGGGATATTAATATTCTAGCCTAACTACATAAACCTGGGAAGGATTTCCCCTCCTATGTTTACACAAGTCTTAGTCTTAACTCGTAAGAGAAACCAGCTCAGTGAAATATACCTCATTCACTCAAATGTTTTCATTATAAATTATACCATAGCATTTAGCTGTCAGAAGCTTTTAAATTATAAACTAGAGAATAATCTTAACTAGTAAGCTTAAAGATCATGTCAATCATCATTTCCTGTGCATGTGAATGTGACTGAAGAAACATACATTCCTGCCCCTCAGGAACAAGAAGTATGTCCTCAGGATGAACTTTAACCACTCATTTCCATTTTTATGGCCATTAGAAACTGGGGAATGTTTCAGGCAATGTAAGGTCTAAATAAAATTTGATTTTAAACATTTTTATTTTAAAATAAGTTCTGAAATCATTTAATTTAAAAATT